CCTAAATTAATCAAATGTTTCAAAAACGGTGAGTAAAAATATAGCTACTAAAGTGAAACTCCTTTTCTGACTAGACTCTAGGCGAAACAAGACTCCTCGCGCCCACACACTCAGCCAACCCCTAGGGCTGGCTCAGTGGCTGCTCGGAATGGGGAGGCCCTACCCACTAAAACTCCGGGATGTACCCTCCTTGCCATTGGTGGTGGCTTGGGATCCTTTCCCTCCGATTCCGTCGGCCTAGGCACGTCTTAAGCATTGTCCTAATACAACGCGATAACGCGATCATCGCGCGTTTAAACGATGCGACCATCGCGTGATCGCGAACTGGGTGTCCTAATAGACCGCGAATACGCGATCACGATTGACACACAGTTTGGTCGGGTTAGCAGTGCCCTCTCCCCGCTTCCTATCGACGCGACGCGATCATCGCGCGAACTTCAGTTAGGACATCTATTCATCATTAATAGGTTTGATTGCGCGAACTCAGTTCGCGCGAATAGATTTTTAAACATTTTAGTCGCGCGAATGCATCGCGCGATCACCTATTAGGACACCTATTCTAGATCAATATGTTTGATCATCGACTCGTACGATGATCGCATCGCTCATTCGCGTTATCGCGTTGTATTAGGACAATGCCTTAGACTACCCCGACGATGAAATCACTCGCGCCAACGCGCCTCCGGTTCCTCCCACACAGGCCACAAACACCAACACTACACAGCTAGCAAACGTGCACACTAGCTTAGCATTAGGCAGACACCGCACCCGTAGGATAAGAGTGCGAAGACCCGGTCTACACACGACATGCTATACCAGGTACAGGTACGTACCTGGGCGTTTTTCCTCGCCCCCCACTACAACGGCTAACTAGAGCCGAGGTCCGAGTCTGGGAGACGCCCTCTAGTTGAGCCGACCCCCTCAGGTTCGAGTGGTCTAGAGGCTCCAGACGGAGAGGAGACTCCCCCCGTGGGGAGACGCCATCCGGCTGGAATACCTCTAGAGACACTCGCCAATTATCGGCTTGAGGTCCCCTTAGGATCTCGCCGTCCCCAAACCCGGTGACGCTGTAAAGGTCATATGCGACCAACAGCATACACACTCAAAAAAAAGAAATTGGGATCCTTACTAGGAATCAACCAGGCCACCACCGGCTCCGTAGTCTACCCTACCCTGTGAAGCCGTGGAATCTTCCTCCCCTACAGAAATACAGCACCACCAAAAGGTAGTGTTATTTTACTGTGATCTTCTGCAAAGGTGGAGGTTTCTTCCCCAGACGGGCGCTCCAATTCGAGCGGGAAATTCGCTAAGCCCTACCTCTCTGCAATTTCCTTATCCATCCATAGGGAAGGCTTCTACCCCAGCAGTGGGGACGTTAATAGGCTGATGATAAAATTTTTTATAGCACAGTGTGACCTAAACCCGCACTTTACGCACGCTTTTCCGTGACCTAAGTTGCCTATTTCTGCACGGTGTGTAAATGAATTGACCAACTTCACTCATGTAGAATTAGTACATTACGATACGCGTAACTTAACTTTACTATGCCAAAATGGTAATCTGAACCGGAATTCTTTCTTTTCAGAGTTTGACTTGCAGTCTGTATTGCAATTCTTTGTGATTGCAATACATGAATTTTACTTTCAAAACACTAATCGCATCCCCCGAACCCCCCCCCCCCTCTTGCCCGCGTCCGGGGCGGGTTTATGCCACACTTTCTATAAAATAGTATACGATACTTGTGGCCTAAGTTGTCTATTACTGCACGGCGTTTAGCCTCGCTCCGCTCGGGCGCTAACTTCACGCCGTGCAGTAATAGGCAACTTAGGTCACGCGTATCGTAATGTACTATTTAAGCATTTAACTGCTAGATGATTGAACATAAAGAGAATAGATGGCGCCTTACAGCTTAAGAAGCACTAGAAAGAATTCAACACCGCCATCAGTGCCGCGGTAGCATAATGGTCAGTGCATTCGTCCGTATAACGAAGGGTTCGAGTCCCGTCTACTGCGTGTTCCACGTGGTTTTTTGTTTCAATCAATCAAATCATTTATTCGTTGTCATCGGTAACAATAAGTTTTTAAAAATTATATAAATGTGCCTCCATGACATGCTCAACAGCATACGAAATCTTTTTCTAGTATAATTTTTCTTTAGAAAATACTTTTTTTTGTTTCAGGTGTTGTCAACCTTCAATCTCTTACATGTGCTCGCAAAGAATTCAAAGAGCTCATCAAATGTCTTCCAAAAATGAATTTAAATGTATAATAATAAATAATATGGTCCATCCGACACGGAAAATTTTATCTAGGACAATATTATCCAGTATTCAATATGGTTCTTAATATTTTAATAACAAGAAAGCAGACAATAAATACAATATGTTACTTTTAACATCACTTACGTCGCATAAATACCAACCTCTGTGGTTTTAATATGCGATTGATCACAATATTATATTATGTTCTTTGTGAAACTGGTAATAAATAAAGAAAAAATAGTTAAAAAGCTTTGTTAATTCGTTACCCTGTATTTTAATATTTATTTATTTGACATCATCATCATCATCAGCCTATTAATGTCCCCACTGCTGGGGCACAGGCCTTCCCTACGAATGGGATAGGGAGTTTTGGGCCATGACCCACCACGCGGGCCCAGTGCGGATTGGTGGGGGCTAACGACTGCAGATGCAGCCGGGACCAACGGCTTAACGTGCCTTCCGAAGCACGGAGGAACTCGAGATAGCAGATTTTTGGTCACCCATCCAATGACCGACCACTGCGAAAGTTGCTTAACTTCAACGAACGCGCTAACCACCCGCACCATCGAGCTTCTCTCGTCTTTTGGCTAGGTAGTATTATCAACAAAAATAATCCATTTGTTGAGTGTGGTCCTGAAGTGTAGCTTTTAAAGTTTGTTAATACGCGCGTGAAATCAAAGTTTGCATTTGTATCATATTTTTATACAAAAGAACGATAAAGATGTAATCGGCCATGCCACAGTGTTACACTGTTTCGTTTTATTCGCGAAAAATGGACGAGAATAATTTTTCTTTTAAACCACAAGATTCAATGACATGTAACTCATATCTGCCATTATTAATCGGAGTTATTGCCAAAAATTAACAAAACCTTTTGAATTAGAAAATTTTTTTTTCAACACACCAATTAGCCCAGCCCCAAAGTAAGCACTATAAGGCTTGTGTTATGGGATACTAGGGTAACGGATAGAATACATATACAGTACATCATCATCATCATCAACAGCCTATCTTAGTCCACTGCTAGACATAGGCCTCTCCAATTACACGCCACTCAGATCGATCTTGGGCTACTCCCATCCAGCTCCTGCCAGCCACCTTGCGCAAATCGTCAATTCATCGTGCCAGTACAGTACAGTACATATATAAGTATATTTATATAGAAATACATATTAAACATCCATGACTGCAGTACAAATGCTCGTATTCATGACACAAACACCTGCCCCCACCGGGATTCGAACCCGGGACCTCTCGAGTCTGCGACGCCATGAAACCCGGCGTACAAAGCACTCGGCCACGGAGGTCGTCATACCCGCGCAAATAAACCCGCGTAGTCAACCTAAATGCAATAACATTTGCCATTTCGGAGACCTCATGCTACACAAGCGCCTCTAGCGGCGGATTCATACGCAAAAGTCCTCATTGAGCCGGCGCTGCGACATAAAATGAGCGGACATCCGCTCCGTGCTCACACTTAAGGCGGTGGAAAGCTCTTAAATTATAAAGAAAATATAACTAGAAAAAATCCACGCGGACCAGGCAGCAGACGGGACTCGAACCCGCACCCTTCGCTATCCGGGCGAATGCACTGACCAATTATGCTACCGCGGCCCTGATGGCCAACATCAAGCAGTTACATGCTTAAAAAATAAAAATTATAACTAAAATTGCTATTTCGTCTTTCAAATGTTTAATACTTGTAAAAGTATTCATTTGACATTGTGGGTTACCTACAATGCGAGGAAATGGCGCTGCCTTGCAGCTTAAGAATGGCCAGAAGAATTTCGACGCGGCCATCAGGGCCGCGGTAGCATAATTGGTCAGAGCATTCGCCCGGATTGCGAAGGGTGCGCGTTCGAGTCCCGCCTGCTGCCTGGTCCACGTGGAATTTTTTCTAGTTATATTTTCTTTAGATTTAAACATCAAGCAGTTACATGCTTAAAAAGTGAAAATTATCTTCGAATTTCGGGTTGTCTACTTTCACCTTCGTATCCCGCAGAAGCAAAAAAGGCGATACAAAAACTTCGTGTGATCTACAATCGACTCTTAAGGAATAGATGTGGGAATGTGGATACAGTGGAAAAACTTTAAAATAATTATAATACATCATCAACCATGGGCAGCTGCTGCATGAGGTGTTCCCTGGTGTCCTGGAGTGAGGACAGGTGACCTATAAGCTCATCCTTTCGTTGTATGATACTAGAATGGGCTATATATAAATAAATGTGTTTGCTTGAGCATCCTTACCAGCCCCTCCAGCTGCTGCATGAGGTGTTGCGTGGAGTCCTGGAGTGAGGACAGGTGATCTTCTAGCTCATCCTAGCGTTGTCTGATACTAGAGGGGGATATTCTATCCTATTCTTACCAGTATTATAAACGCGAAGTTTGTATAGGTGTTTGATACTCTTTCGGCTATATGGATGTCTGATATAAAACGGCTGAACGGCATTGGATGAAATTTCGACATAAATGTAGTTAAAATCTAAAGAAAAGTTTACTAGGAAAAAAATCCACGCGGACCAGGCAGCGGACTTGCGGACTTTCTTTAGATTTAAACATCTAGCAGTTAAATGCTTAAAAATAAATAAAAACATAACTATATATGTTGTTTGTAACCTAGATTGACATATAGGATACTTTTTATCTCGGAAAAATTTAACGTTTCGAGTGGGATTCTAAAAAGAAACTAACTGTAACGCGGACGAAGTCGCGGGCGGAACCTATATATTATGTTACCTTGAGCATCCTCATCAGCCCCTCCAGCTGCTGCATGAGGTGTTTCCTGGAGTCCTGGAGTGAGGACAGGTGACCTTCCAGCTCATCTTTTCGTTGTCTGAGAGCTCGAAGCTCTGATACTAGAGGAGGGGCTGATCCAGTAGTATTTGCGCCCGAAGAAGTCTCAGCTTCTTGCTGACGTCTGCGCGACAAATAAATAAATAAATATTTTCAACACTCGCACCAATTAGCCTAGCCCCAAAGTAAGCACTGTAAGGCTTGTGTTATGGTATACTAGGCTAACGGATAGAATACATATACAGTACATATATAAGTATTTATATAGAAATATATATTAAACATCCATGACTGGAGTACAAATGCTCGTATTCATCACACAAACATCTGCCCCCACCGGGATTCGAACCCGGGACCTCTCGAGTCGGTGGCACCATGAAACCCGGCGTATAAAACACTCGACCACGGCGGTCGTCATTCTCAATAAATTCATTATTATAATCTTTATTAGCGTTAACTAGGGTTTTGCATTATGTTTAAAATGTCGTGTCAAATATTCTTTCTTATGGCTCTATTACACTTGCTCGTTAGACCGTATTCGGGTGCACGAAAGACATTACTCGATTTCGGACACATTCGGGTATGAATGATTGGATGAGATTAGGGATTGCAATCCGGTGTCATTTTCAGTCCGATTGATCAAATCAGGATGATTTTCGGTTTTTCGTACAAAATAAGTAAGTTAATCAAGTGTCACTGCACTTATATGTACGTAGTGTATAAATATAAATCACAAATATATAGAAAAGAAACGACTTTTTTCCTAACCAATGTCAAGACAAATAGACTACAAGAAAACAATTAAAATTTGGTAGTGTAAGAGTAATCTCTTATCTATTAGACAAGTCCGTCCGTCCGTGGTGCTGTGTCAGCGGCCAAACCGTAAGAGATAGATATAGAGAATGTTTAAGTTATAAGTTAAGAATAGTCTGATAAGACTACAAACCGGATGTGAGTAACGTAGCACTTCCGGTTTTCGAGAATTCACGTGATTTCTATTTCAAACGAAACCACACAAAATCTCCGAAGTTCTCAATTAATTAAATACTTTTTCTTTTTTTTTTTTTGGTGAACATTTGGTTCACAGGTTTGCTAGTTAGTAATAATTTTACGGCATAACGAGTAGTTCAGTCTTTCTAGATTTCACTTTCACAGATAGATCAATTTATGAGTAACAATATTAATTATCAAGTAACTATAATATCTAACAGATACAATTAACCTTACGTAATTAACTGAAATGAGATCTAAATCATTATTAAAGTATTTAAGAATGCAAAAGAACAGGTCTTATAGGTATTTAAGACAGATACCACCATGATTTGATGAATCTGACGAACGAATGAATGGCAAAAATTATCACAATAATGAGTTTAGAACTCTTTAGCTTAATCAACTTACGATAAATATTTTTTTTAGTTAATAATTGTAAGAAAATAAAAAAAAAGTATTAAAAGAACATCAATATTGATTTTGAAAAAAAAATTGTAGAAAACAAATATTGTTAATTGCGTCATCAGCTAAACGACTTCTAATAGAGCTGCAAATTATAGCCTGCGGCCGAAAAGGCCCTTTCAGCTTCTACACTTGTCGGCTTTATTGTAGCACCGGATCCGGTCTTCGGATCCGGTATATTGGTACCGGATCCGGTAAACGTCAAATGATGCCGGATCCGCCGGATTACCGGATCCGTTTTTCCGGATTGCAATCCCTAGATGAGATATTAACTGTCATTATTAATAAAAGAATTTATTTTTTTATATTACAAAGTTTACATTGTTTTAAAAGACGAGAACTACCGAAAGAAATTATTAAATTAAATTTCAAAGTAACTTTGTGTACGCTGCTTGAGACAAACGCGGACTAACTTGGGCGTGATTATGAAATATATTTAAACAGTCAAATATAAACCTAAATAATTACTTGCTGTTAAAAATGCTTTGCTTGCAAAATGTATGATTTGATTGTACAATAACAACTAATTAAAAATACACTTACATTGTCATAACTTAAAGGGAATCGTCTATTAGTGATTCCCATCAGTGTGCACAGATATCCAATATCTATAAATTGGATTGGTAAGATCCGCGTACAAACATTTTAGTATGCCGTTACCATAGCAACGCAGTCCCTTCCAAAAAGAAGCTATGCGCGCCCCAATAACAGCATAGAATTCCGTTAGCCCAGCCTCCGCGAACATTGTCGATAAAAAAAACTAATTTTGCATTTCCTCACCTCAGTCGTGCTATCTCTCTCATGATTTCCCTGTTCTTGGCCTCCAGTTGCGATATTAGCTCGCGCTGTTGCCGCGCCGCGTCCACTTCCGATCCCTCGGAGGACGATCGACCCTAAACAAAATAATCGTTGTATCTCTTATCTATTAGACAAGTCCGTCCGTCCGTCCGTCTATGGTGCTGTTTCAGCGGCCAAACCGTAAGAGATAGATAAAAGGAATATTTAAGTTATAAGTTAAGAATAGTCTGATAAGACTACAAACCGGATTTGAGTAACGTAGCACTTCCGCTTTCCGAGAAATCAGGTTTTGGTGAACATTTGGTTCACTGGTTTGCTAGTTTAATTTTAATCGTAAATATTTTTATGCCTAAACAGTAGGACAAGGCTTTCCTAAACATTCCTAAATTTTTGAATCAGTTTTGCACGCCTCACAACGCGTAAGCATATGGGAGTGCTTTACTCTCAATAGGCCGCAATGTGACGATTTTACAATATAAAATCGCTCTTATCTCCCAAGTTAGACACTAAATCAATAAAAAAGGGGTGTTTTGAAAACTAGACATATTAAATTATAAAGTCAGCGTATTATTTCATTTATTTTTTTAGTGTACATAACAAAAAAAATGTAGTTAAAATATTATTAGTACTGCTGTCGTTGGCCTGTGCACTTGTTGGACGTTTGCACGTTTTGGAAAAATATACGCAATTAATTGTAATAAATCCTTTTGAATTAATTTCCACTTATTCTGAGGATGAACCCTATTTCTTATTATGATTGAACTGATGACCGTTTTAAAGATATTAATGAAATTCAATGGAATTTATTTACTGGGTTTCTGTTTCGTGAATGTGAGGCATGCACTTTTGGATTTTCCAAATTTTTTATATTTTTTATTTTATAGTCATAAATTTTATATCATTTTCATTTATAATGGAAAGTGACTTCCTTAGTTATCTCATATAGAAGTCATTTTCAATTTGACGACTCTGTATAGAAAACAGGGAGAAAAAAACAGCCCTTGCTGCGTTTGTTGCCGGTTCTTCTCAGTAAAAGGCCTCCCTCCGTAGATTTGCGAACCGATGGCGTAGCTTTTCGACATTCACAAGTGCTTGTAACAGCCTAGACTGTATGAACGATATTGAATTTTGAATTTGAAAGAGTCATAACTAAATAATTATATAACTGGTCAAGTGAGCGTTAAATCCCAGGCTGAGTGTTTCATTCCATCAGGTTTAAGAAAGGTTGGGCATAGCGAATGTTCGATTGAATTGGACATTACAGAAGACAACAGTAAAATAATACTACCTAAATAAAACTAGTTTTAACGGGTTAATGCACGAACTTTATTTATTTATTGACGTTTCGCAGCCTTTGCAGGTCGGCATCGTCAGAATAATGATTTAAAAAAAACATTATTCTGACGATGACGTTATTGGTCGTCAGAATAATGATGAAATAATAATAAAAATTGTAGGAATGCATTAAAAATGATTGGTCCGCCATTTTGAGTATGCTGCCATATTGGATTTAGAATGACGTCACACTGTTCATCATGCATTGACATCCGAACTGAACGAGCATACCAAATTTCAGCTTAATCGGTTGAGGGCAAGTGCTTTAAAATTGAGTTGTAAGATTTGACCCGAACAAACATACATTGCAAGTTAAATAAAAGCTTGCAAAAAAACATTATTCTGACGATGCCGACCTGAAAAGGCTGCGAAACGTCAATAAATAAATAAAGTTTAACCCGTTTTATTTAATGACTGATGTGCGTGAAAACCTAAGAAACAAATATAATAGTACCTTTTGGTGGTCTTGTGTTTCTGTCAGTGAGTAAGGCCGTATACAGAAAGAAAGCCGAAAAAGGCGCCGATCGGCTTTCGGCTTTCTTTCTGTATACGGCCTAAGGTTCCTGAGCTTCATGGATAGGAGATTGGGTCAGGGTAGACAAAGGTGCGTGGAGGCGCCTAAACCCCCATAACTTGGGTTGCGGGAAAATAACAATTTTGCGTGCTCAATGCTTTATATGGAGAGGCTAACCCTAGGCGTAGGTTGAAAGTGGACTGTATCTGGGGGGCGGTAATACACAATCATATATTAATAAAAATACAAACTAAACTGCGCCTTGCAAATGCCTTGTCTAATTAAGGACGAAGAAAATGGTTGAAGACCTGGAGACAAAGGAAAGGAACATGCTTTCCTTTACTTTGTCTCCAGGTCTTCAACCATTTTCTTTGCCGGCACAGATTCTGTATTTATATATATTTTACAATGTAAAGTGTTCACGAATATGAATGATCGCACAGTAATTTTTGGATATTACATCACAACATGTGTCTTCCATTACAACGTTCACAAGCGAGAAAAAAAAAGTATCATGTCCTATGCACTCCGCGGTGTCGTCGAAAAGCAGGACGGCCATAGCTAAAAGTGCACATGTATGAAAAGGATGGGAGACAGATTGGATTAAGGCAATGAGGGCTATCGCGTCTGAAACCGCCGCTAGAGGCGCTTGTGTTGCGTGGGGTCTCCGAAATGTCAAATGTTATAGCTTGCGGGTTGACTACGCGGTTTTTTTCTAATTAAAATAATAGTTGTGAATATTTGGTAATAAATCAGACTTATTATGGCAAATATGAGTAACGTGTCAATGATTGTCAGTTATTTAAAAGCGGAGCTAAGAAAAAATATTGCCCTTCTTTTTTCCGAACAAAACGGGACTGCGCAACACTGTGGCATGGGCGATTATGTTTAAGATACGATTCTTTTGTATTAAAATGTAAACTTTGATATCACGAGCGTGTTTACTAACTTTAAAAGTTACACTTCAGGACCACACTCAACAGTGGCGCCATCTGGTGAGACAAAAAACGATAGCCCTCATTGCAAGTGCATAAACTACCCTATAATGAAATTATTAAAAGCCCGCAAAATACGAAATCCAACAGTGCAAGTAATATTTTTGGTATCGCAAGCGTCTATATGGTATGGTGGCCGCTTACCATTAGGTGGGCCACATGCTTGTTTACCACCTTTTAGCATATAAAACTGGTCAAGTGCGAGTTGGTTGGCTGAGGGTTCCATTTCGTCACCTTTTCTTTTTCCTCTTTAATAAGGATTTTTAAGAAAAAATACGGCACCAACTGTTGCCGCCACTGTGGAATGAGGTCTATTCTAAGAAGTTACTTGGGCGAATTAAGCGAGCAATCATTTAAATTAATTTATTATGACATATGCGATTTGGCGAAACAATGCTGTCATCTGTTATTTAAGGAAACCCTCCTTGTTAAATTAACTTGATTTTTATTGATTCTTGTAATACCTATCAGCAATAGAAAGAAAAAAAAACTATCATAGTCATCATCATCACCCTTTGGGTAACGTTACTATTGTAGTGTGTGTACTAGCTATATGAACACACACTCATCTCTCCTAATATATATAGCATGTAATACTAATAAATGCGCTCTTTAATCGCAGTCACTTGCTTTATGTCAACGCCCTGAACCGCCAACACTGCACTATAAAACTATATTCCCATTATATCGAAACGAACTCAATTGACGACCTTATGTATATAAGCTTAAGCGACATAATCAAGTATAATTACCAGCTCCGGTGTCAAAGATGCCGACCGTCCTGCCCGTGGCTGCAACAAATGAAAACGGTTATTGTTAACCTTAGATTAAAACAAAGAGGGAAGATACGGTACGCTCATACTAGCATCAAATAAAATATGCTCCGACTCAACTACATAAGCTACTCTCACACACGCACACGTCTGTATATAAACATTCAATAGAGCAAGCGAGAAAGAACTGTACGCATCAACGCAAAGCGAAGCGGCGAGTCCGCATCAGAGTCCGAACGGCTGAGCTGTATTGTTGTCCTTTTCTTGATAACAAAATGGCGATTACGTAAATGACATTCACGCCAAACCGAGATTTTTAAGAAAAAAATATTTTTCGTTTTACGAATGAAAAGTGATGCCGAGGCGTGTGTTATTCATTATGAACTATTTGTGTTCTTTATAAAAGCATCGAAAGCATTGTTTTACGTTTATAACACAGAATATACGCAATATTGCTATATTGAGTGCACATGCAGAATGTTTGAATGTCCAATTGTGACTAAAGCGGATTGTGGTTATGCACCATAATTTAAGTGTTGTGGGGAAACGAGGTGCGCGGGCGGTCATGCCCTGCGCCGATTGTCTCTCCGGTCGTACCTATGCGCATGCGCAGCTATCACCTCTGCGTAAAGTTCAGCGCTAGAGTTACGTGCCGCGACCTATATCTGTTATGTGTAAAGGCGACGGGTCAAAGCATTAAAGCCCGCGCCCGTCCCGTCGCGCCCGTGGCACTCACCATGGTGGTGGTGTATTGGTGCAGTCGCGCCGCGTACCGCGCGATGAGGTGGTGCTCGTCGTGCGGCGCGTGCGAGCCGGGGGCGAGTGCTCGCCGCGCGCCGCGCGAGCTGCGCGAGTCCAGCGAGCCCGTGTTTATGTAGCCCGCGCCCGTAGCACTCACCATGGTGGTGGTGTATTGGTGCAGTCGCGCCGCGTACCGCGCGATGAGGTGGTGCTCGTCGTGCGGCGCGTGCGAGCCGGGGGCGAGTGCTCGCCGCGCGCCGCGCGAGCTGCGCGAGTCCAGCGAGCCCGTGTTTATGTAGCCCGCGCCCGTAGCACTCACCATGGTGGTGGTGTATTGGTGCAGTCGCGCCGCGTACCGCGCGATGAGGTGGTGCTCGTCGTGCGGCGCGTGCGAGCCGGGGGCGAGTGCTCGCCGCGCGCCGCGCGAGCTGCGCGAGTCCAGCGAGCCCGTGTTTATGTAGCCCGCGCCCGTAGCACTCACCATGGTGGTGGTGTATTGGTGCAGTCGCGCCGCGTACCGCGCGATGAGGTGGTGCTCGTCGTGCGGCGCGTGCGAGCCGGGGGCGAGTGCTCGCCGCGCGCCGCGCGAGCTGCGCGAGTCCAGCGAGCCCGTGTTTATGTAGCCCGCGCCCGTAGCACTCACCATGGTGGTGGTGTATTGGTGCAGTCGCGCCGCGTACCGCGCGATGAGGTGGTGCTCGTCGTGCGGCGCGTGCGAGCCGGGGGCGAGTGCTCGCCGCGCGCCGCGCGAGCTGCGCGAGTCCAGCGAGCCCGTGTTTATGTAGCCCGCGCCCGTAGCACTCACCATGGTGGTGGTGTATTGGTGCAGTCGCGCCGCGTACCGCGCGATGAGGTGGTGCTCGTCGTGCGGCGCGTGCGAGCCGGGGGCGAGTGCTCGCCGCGCGCCGCGCGAGCTGCGCGAGTCCAGCGAGCCCGTGTTTATGTAGCCCGCGCCCGTCGCGGCCGGCCGGGGCGCGGGGCCCAGGCTGGACGAGTACTCGGGGAAGCCGTTGTGCGCGGGCACGGGGGATGGGGGACTATAAACAAAACATCAGTAATGAATCAGCTTTATTTTCTCCATAATGGTTATGTACTTAAAAATAACATCAATCAAATCAAAATCAAAAAAGTTTATTACGGTATCACATTTGTTTTACATCAAACCAGGGTGGGTTCCTTCTATTGAGTGTTAAACACCTGTACCGGAAGGAACCACTCTTCCATAGCATCATTAATATTTCTTATGGTAAGGTCTTTTCATTGGATTTTTAATACATTGTAAAAAAATAAAAAATATATAAATTACAATTTATATAAGCGGTTGAGTGTGTGTCTGTATGCGTGTGTATGTGTGTGTAGCATAACATAACATTATGATATTATTAACAATGGCTATGGAAACTGGTGCCTGAACTAAGGTTAGAGCCCGTTTTATAGGTCACCACCACAGGCCCCCACAGCCTGGCCGAATTTAGTATTGCTTACACTTATCATTCCGATTTTTTTCTTTTTTTTCTTTACTTTAGTTTAATTTATATCAAATTAGTTTATTTTAGATTAGTAGTTTTCATTTTATTTCAAAAGGTTTCATTTCATTTCATTTATATGTATAAATAAATTTGTGATAGACAAATATTGGTGTCGATTAGAACACGATTCTCTAAAGTAATAATTATGGACTCCTTATACATTAGTAAATAACGCGATATCGTTTTCTAAAACTTGTTAAATACCCTATTGGTCAATAGGCAAGTTAACACTGTTTGAAAATATGTTTTAAATGGGTAATAATTGTTCCATTAGACCAAAAGAAATGCATTGTATTTTTTTTGACCTAGAATACTTTAATTTTAGAATAGTTTTATATGGACATACAAAACGCTGTCGGCCATTTTAGTCTATAGATTTATCTATGCTATGACGTCAAAACATTTGTTAACAAACATTCGCAAGCACGTAAGAAATAACTTATCTGAGTTTATATTGTAAAATCATGATTTCTAATAGATGCCATGACAAAATATAGTAATTATCATTATTGTATTATACGCGAATGTAGAAACACATTGTTAAAGACTTCAAAAAAGTTGTGTTTTAAATTGCCTAGAGAAATAAACATGAACATATGTTTAAAACTTGCTAAGTCCTGTAACTTTATCGACTGAAAGCCATTTCTTTTTGCAACGATCACGTCTTCTACAAGACGAGTACTCATTGGTATCAATTCTGGCATGATTCTCTAAAGTTAAACTTAAATTTGACAACAGTGTATCCCTGTCATTCTCTATACGGAATGAAAAGGACAGACTGATCTTAAATTTAGTTTTAAGTTTAGAGAATCCTGCCAGAATCGACACCATTGAATAATATTTAAAGTTTAAAAATACAGGTTTTAAGGTTATGAATGTACCTACAAGTTAAAGAGTTTTGTCGTTTCTGCTTTCACAAATCCGGCGTCCAGCATTAATTTAATCAACAAATCCAATAAACGGAAAGTTTTGTACAAGATATAAGAGTTTTTAGGTATATTTTAGTCCGACGAAAGAAACCACTGTAACACGACAGAGACGTTTAGTTGTTTACAAATTTTGTGACGTCACAATCATGGTGGACAGCGTTTTTAGTGTTTAAAAAGCATAGACTAAAAAAACTATTTTTAAATTAAATTATTTCAGTCTTAACTAACGAAAAAGATAATAGTTTTATTATCTATTGTCACGTGACCCGAAACGCTTGGGATTGGCGGAGCCTAAAATGACGTCACACGCAAGTAAACTTCCGGTTAAAGTGACATTACCTTGTATCTTTTGCCGTTTTAATAACAGCCGTGTGACGTCACACACTAGTAAGACGCCATATTGTCCAGAGAAACGATTTCGCGGCAACTTGAAAATGGGAGTTTTTGATTTGGTTATTTTTACTGAAATACACAACAGAATGATGAATATCTTTTTACGAACTCCATAAACATTAGTCAATAACGTGAGATCGTTTTCTAAAACTTGTCAACACCCTATTGTAGTTTGATTAAGTATATATACTTTAAAGCGTAACTACTTCGACTTCCGCGACCCCTTTCATTTCATAGTTGGGAAAGGGTAGTTAATTATGAAACATAGACACTTTTTTAGCTTTGATGGGGATCACAGAAAGACTTGAAGTCCTCTGATCCTTAGATTAGACCCCAGAGCTTTTTTACGGACTCCATAGACATAGTCAATAACGTGAGATCGTTTTCTAAAACTTGTCAGATACCCTATTACACAGAGTATACTTACACGATGTGACTGAGGTTAAGGGTGCGTTCTGGTTGATCCGGGTATCGGGGCAACTGGGGCCGCGCCCGCTCCGGAACGCAGCGGAACGACTTCCGTAACGTGGCACCTATTTGCTTCGACGGGGATTTCTGGCAAATGAACAACAATCATGTTTTAATCTATAAAACATAGGCAGTGAAGATTGATTTAAATTTAATCATATTATCATAATCATATGATTGACGACCTCCGTGGCCGAGTGGTTTTCACGCCGGGTTTCATGGTGTCGCCGACTCGAAAGGCCCTGGGTTCAAATCCCGGTGGGGGCAGATGTTTGTGTGATGAATACGAGCATTTATACTCCAGTCATGGATATTTAATATGTATTTTCTATATAAATATACTTATATATGTACAGTATATGTATTGCATCCGTTACCCTAGCATCCCATAACACAAGCCTTACATTGCTTACTTTGGGGCTAGGCTAATTGGTGTGAGTGTGGGAAATATTAATTTATTTATATAACAATACCAACAACATTAGCACACAATGTCATTAAACATTATTTAATTTTCCTACTTAGTCAAGCCATCCAAACCAATTTAATTTAAGCCACAACAGCTATAATCTTTTTATAAGTCTTTGCCGAGGGTTGCTATTTCCATGGAATGGATGTTACCACTTCTCGGGGATGAAATTTTTATTATTAAAAATAAATATGTAAACTTATATGATAATTTTGAAGTAGAGAGTAAGTACCCACGGCCAAATGTTGGTGCTAATCGGCGCTGTTTGGTAGAATTGCTAGGAAAACCGTGCATTCACTGAGCTAAAGTAACGTAGATCGAGACAATTCGTATGTAAACAAGCACTCTAAACATGTGATGTGTAGGACAGGTAGAGTAGTGTGAGCGAGACGGGTAGTGTAATGTGAGCAGGTCGGGTAGTGTAGTGTGAACGGGGCGGGTGGTGTAGTGCAAACGGGACGGGTAGTGTAATGTGAGCGGGTCGGGTAGTGTAGTGTGAACGGGGCGGGTAGTGTAGTGCGAACGGGACGGGTGGTGTAATGTGAGCGGCTCGGGTATTGTAGTGTGAACGGGGTGGATAGTGTAGTGCAAACGGGACGGGTAGTGTAATGTGAGCGGGTCGGGTAGTGTAGTGTGAACGGGGCGGGTAGTGTAGTGCGAACGGGACGGGTAGTGTAATGTGAGCGACTCGGGTATTGTAGTGTGAACGGGGTGGATAGTGTAGTGCAAACGGGACGGGTAGTGTAATGTTAGCGGGTCGGGTAGTTTAGTGTGAACGGGGTGGAAAGTGTAGTGCAAACGGGACGGGTAGTGTAATGTGAGCGGGTCGGGTAGTGTAGTGTGAACGGGGCGGGTAGTGTAGTGCGAACGGGACGGGTAGTGTAATGTGAGCGGCTCGGGTATTGTAGTGTGAACGGGGTGGATAGTGTAGTGCAAACGGGACGGGTAGTGTAATGTGAGCGGGTCGGGTAGTGTAGTGTGAACGGGGCGGGTAGTGTAGTGCAAACGGGACGGGTAGTGTAATGTGAGCGGGTCGGGTAGTGTAGTGTGAACGGGGTGGGTAGTGTAGAGCAAACGGGACGGGTAGTGTAATGTGAGCGGGTCGGGTAGTGTAGTGTGAACGGGGTGGGTAGTGTAGAGCAAACGGGACGGGTAGTGTAATGTGAGCGGGTCGGGTAGTGTAATGTGAGCTGGACGTGTAGTGTAGTGTTAGCGGACGGGTAGTGTGTGACGTCACTCACGTAGGCGGCGTACTCCTTGACCTCGTGCTCGTTGGTGTGGGCGTTGGACACTCTGCCCCGCCAGAAGCAGTCCTGGCATAAAGTGTAGTTGGTGCATGGAGTGCAGCGGTAACGGAATCCGGTTAGAGACCCTCGACGACAAGCGCTGCAGGCCATTGGATGGACCACTGGCGAACAAAATATCATCATGAAGCATATACTACCTAATTCTAATTATATAAAGAGGTAAAGTTGGTGAATTGTGACGTTGCAGGGGGCAATATCTGAATCTACAGAACCGGTTTTGAAAATTCTTCTACTAATAGAAAGAAGCGTCATTTGTGAGTTTCATAGGCCAAATGTTAAAACTAAAGTCAACACCGTAGCGAAGCGAGAGCGGGCCGCTATTAATTATTCATTGATCCATCTCAAGAATTCTTATCCTTTTATCAAAATGAATACTGAAGAATTTGATTTTTTTTTGGAACGCACCAATTTCAGTTACTATTAGCTCGAATTGAAGAAATTATTTTTGTGTTGGATATAGTCCATTTATCAAGGAAGGCTAAGGCAGAGGTTGTATAAAATCAGATTACGATCAATAGAAGCGGTACATACGTTAATCAAACAAAGATTTAATATTTCCATTCTCGAAGATATTAAGAGACCTCTATGAGGCGTGAAGGGCGTAGGTAGAGGTGTGAAGAAACAACATGCTGGCCGGCATGGTGAAGATGACTGGTGTGGCAGGTAGAACTGCTGTACCAGCTATCTTCACGCCTGGACTTCACCGTCACTTAACATCAGGTGGGGCCAGTCATTTGTCGGACATATGTATACCAAAAAATAGTTATCTAAACACTATCCTTAATGTCACAAAAAAGTTATGCATGCGTTCAACACTTGTTGAAGAGAAATCGTCATATACAACTTGTCTAAACAAGTTACCATGTACCTTGTTTTTTATGAGTCTCCGATATTTCGGCACTGTTGCAAGCGCCATCATCAAGGTTTGAAACCGTGTCTAACTTTTTAGGTAGTAAGACCGTATTGATTTTGACAACATTGTAGTCGTATGTTGCAAAAATAAATTCCGCTTGAATCTGCGTGAGACATTACGTTAATGTGTGCGTGATAAAAATGACGGTTTATTCTCAGCCGACTCTCTGCTCAGGCGCAGCGATAACGTACTTTGTAGTAATACAGACATAAATCAGTTCATAAATTAAATATTAAACAAACTTACCCTTAATTTCTAATTTCTAAGCATTTAAATGCTAGATGTTTTAAAACTAAAGTAATTTTTACTAGAAAAAAAGCGGGATTCGAACCCGCACCCTTCGCTATCCAAGCGAATGCACTAACCTTTATGCTACCGCTGCCTTTATTGCCGTGTCGAATTTTCTCTAGCGTTTTTAAGGCTGCAAAGCAGCGTCATGTCTTCGTATTGTAGGTTACCCACAATGACAAATGAATACCTTTACAAGTATTAAACATTTGAAAGAAAAAACAACAATTATAGTACAGCGAAAGGTGCGGGATCGAGTCCCGTCTGCTGCCTGGTCTGCGTGGATTTTTTCCAGTAAAATTTTCTTAACCTTACCGTTTTCGACGCTAGCCAGTCGATGCAGTAGAGGCAGCCAGACTAGGCAGGGCGGCCCGGGATCCGACATTAATGTATCCAGGAAGTCGTTCACTGTGATCTTGGTGTTCTGGAACAAACGGCCAAGTTAACCAACACATACATTTATGAGTTAAATTCCAATAGGGGTGATGACGGGGTACAGTAAACGAAATTCTATTTAGTCCGTCAGTTAGATGATCAAAAAATAATGGACACGTATTTTTTCTTTGGGCAATCAACCAAAAAATGACAAAGTTATAGCGCGTCAAATTTCCCTTATAAGTGTACTCAAACGTGACGTCATGCGACTTTTCAAATCAATATATCTCTGCAATGTTTATATTATGTGAAAAAAGAAAAAATACGTGTCTAATACTTTTTGATAATCTACCTGATAAACGAAGAAAAAAAATTAGTCATCATCCCTATTATAATTATTTTAATAAAATTCAATCAGTAAGATGTTTGACATTGTTTACTATTAACTAATTTATCAATATTAATATTATAAAGCTGCAGAGTTTGTTTGTTTGTTTGAACGCGCTAATCTCTGGAACTACTGGTCCGATTTGAATGATTCTTTCAGTGTTGGGTAGTCCATTTATCGAGGAAGGCTATAGGCTATTTTTTTTTCAAAATTAGGGATCCGTAATAAAATTGCTATTTTGTAACACAAGGTGTAAAATCAAAAACCTATTTTTGCGTGCGCTACAAAAAACTATTGACAATAGAACAAAATGATGTACTGCGGGTTTGTAGATCCCATTAAGACCTACAAAAAAGTCCGCGAGAACATATATCTAGCTATCATGGTTTAGTCACAATAACCGATTTTGTGTTCAAAATAATTATTGAATCGTCTGAAAAAAAAACACGTTAAATATGTATCGTAATATTAAAAACACAAACAACCCTTAATTTTCACCCCTCTACCACCCATATTTTTATGGCGATACGAAGTTCGCTGGGTCAGCAAGTTTATCAATATTTGTCCCGATAGTAGTTGTTGCAATTTTCAAACTGTATGTAATGTAATTTTTTTTATTTATTTATCAATTGTATTAAATTAAACACTTTAAAGTAAACGTTCGCGTTAAGTATTACGCTATTTTGTTACAGTAAGATTTTTTTATTGATTAAAAGTAATTTAGTCACGCTAATGCCGGTCCGGCCTCGGTTGAAGACCTTTGTGCTAGGGCATTGCGGTAGCTAAAGGAAGGAGATTCGTAGACGGCTGCGGGTAAAGTCAGCACTTCGCATAAGTAGTCAGATAGACGCTTCATCAGTAGGTGCCCGTTACCATGAAACAGCTAGGACAATATATCTACAACAATATGATGATAAGTTATCTGGTAGAATATAGACAGTGCTAGGGCATCGCTGTAGTTGAAGGAAGGAGATTCGTAGACGGCTGCGGGTAAAGCCAGCACCTCGCGTAAGTAGTCAGATAGACGCTTCATCAGTAAGTGACCGTTACCATCAGACAGCTTGGACAATATATCTACGGCAATATGATGATACGTTACCTGATTGAATATATGTAGTGCTAGGGCATCGCTGTAGCTGAAGGAAGGAGATTCGTAGTCAGCTGCGGGTAAAGCCAGCACCTCGCGTAAGTAGTTAGATAGACGCTTCATCAGTAGGTGCCCGTTGCCATCAGACAGTTAAGACTTTATCTACGACAATATGATGATACGTTACCTGATTGAATATATGCAGTGCTAGGGCATCGCTGTAGCTGAAGGAAGGAGACTCGTAGACTGCTGCGGGTAAAGCCAGCACCTCGCGTAAGTAGTCAGATAGACGCTTCATCAGTAGGTGCCCGTTGCCATCAGACAGTTAGGACTTTATCTACGACAATATGATGATACGTTACCTGATTGAATATATGCAGTGCTAGGGCATCGCTGTAGCTGAAGGAAGGAGACTCGTAGACTGCTGCGGGTAAAGCCAGCACCTCGCGTAAGTAGTCAGATAGACGCTTCATCAGTAGGTGCCCGTTGCCATCAGACAGTTAAGACTTTATCTACGACAATATGATGATACGTTACCTGATTGAATATATGCAGTGCTAGGGCATCGCTGTAGCTGAAGGAAGGAGATTCATAGACTGCTGCGGGTAATGAAATGAAATGAAATGAAAAGTCATTTATTCAGTCTAGGCTGTTACAAGCACTTGTGAAAGTCAAGAAGCTACGCCATCGGTTCGCAAAACTACGGCGGGAGACCTTGTACTGAGAAGAACCGGCAAGAAACTCAGCAAGGGCTGCTTTTTTCTCCCTGTATTGATATATACAGAGTCGTCAAGTTGAAAAATGACTTCAGACATACTTCTGAAGTCACCTTCCATTACATTATTTAGGGTATAGATATATAGTTACAACAAATTTTATATTTAGTATATATAGGAAGCGGCATTAGATAGGTACCATACTACTGTTACAAAACTGACTCATACCCATCAAATAAGAAATTACAAGAAACACTATGTCCATGCATTACGATCATTTAGATAATCATTAACTTTATAATAGCCCTTATTCATAAGAGTATTCTTAATCTGAGATTTAAATTTGGTTAGTGGAAGCTCAATCAGATCTTGGGGAACTTTGTTAAACAATGCAATACTACATCCCAGAAATGAACCTCTAGATTTTTGGAGTCTGAAACATGGAACGGCAAGCTTGTTCTTAAATCTCGTGTTTAAGTTATGGGTTTGACTTTTTTTTGCAAATGCGTCATAGTTTCTTCTTACATATATTATATTTTCATAGATGTATTGCGATGCCAGTGTTAAAATATTAATTTCTTTAAATTTTTCTCTAAGAGATTCTCTTGCCTTTAAATTATATATGGCGCGAACAGCTCTCTTTTGCAGTACGAAAATACTTTCTATATTAGCAGCTGAGCCCCACAACAAAAGGCCATATGACATAACGCTATGAAAGTAACCAAAGTAAACCATTCTTGCCGTTTCCACATCAGTTAGGAGTCTTATTTTTTTAACAGCGAAGGCCGCAGAGCTCAGTCTACTTGATAAGGCATCAATATGAGGATCCCATTGCAGATGCGAGTCTAAAGTAATACCCAGAAACTTTGTAGAATCCACTAACTCTACAGGCTGCTCATTTATTTTTAAACTAGTATTAACCTGCCTCACATTAGGTAAAGTAAACTTAACACATTTTGTTTTGCTAGAGTTTAGTTTTAAATTATTTACCGTAAACCAGCGAAGGACTTCAGAGAGAGCAAAATTTACTTCGTCATAACAATCATTTCCTCTCCTAGCTTTAAACACTAAAGAGGTGTCATCAGCAAATAGTACTGTCTCACACAAATCTCTTGTAAAGTGAGGAAGGTCATTAATATAAATAAGGAAAAGCAATGGGCCCAATATTGAACCCTGGGGCACGCCCATAGAAATGGGTGCTCCTGTAGACTCAGCTTCATTTATAACTACTTTCTGAATCCTAGCAGAAAGATAAGACTGTATCAGACTTAGTGAAATATTTGATACACCATAATGCTTCATTTTATTTAACAATGTTTCATGGCTAACGCAGTCAAACGCCTTAGATAAATCGCAAAAAATGCCAATAGCATCGTGCTTACTCTCCCATATATCAAAAATGTGTTTGAGAAGTGCAGTTCCAGCATCAGTAGTACTTTTGCCTCTAGTGAAACCAAACTGTTTTAAATGAAGTAGCTTATTTATAGAAAAGTGTGCTAGTAATTGGTTATAAATTATTTTCTCAAATACTTTACTTAGCGCTGGTAATACAGATATAGGCCTAAAATTGCTGGGATCTGATTTATCACCAGCCTTAAAAAGAGGGATAACTTTAGCACATTTCATTAGATCTGGAAACACTCCCTCATCAATACATTTGTTAAATATAATGGCCAGTTGTGGCGCAATGACAGTGATAATCGGTTTTATTATATATGTTGATATTCCCCATAAATCCTCTGTCTTTTTAATATTAATAGAATTAAATGTTTTTATAATACAATCACTACTGATGTGTCTAAAATAAAAATCATTACTGCACTTATCAACGCTTGACTCAAGGAGGGTCATTGCTAACCTAGAACAAGAATTAAGATTTCTAGTTGATTCAAACGGTGCACTAGAAAAGAAATTTTCAAAAGTGTTGGCAACGGCATCATCTGTCCGAATAATCTTGTTGTCTATTTTTAAAGAATATGTGCGTTCATTGAATTTATTTCTTCCAGTTTCATTATTAATTATATTCCAAGTTGTCTTTATTTTATTATCTGATAGACTAATTTTTTTTGATAAAAATTTAGCTTTCGCTATGGCACACACCTTTTTAAAAGTTTTTGAATAGTTTTTGACATATTCTATAAACTTAGGATCAGATGAGGTTGCTTTGAGAGCATATAATTGATACAACTTATTTCTACTTTTGTAAATACCAGGTGTGGCCCAATCACTAAAATTTTTTTTAGAGCTATGGCATTTAATTACTTTGCGTTTGAATATTTTATTAAATTCATCTTTAATTAAATTAAATAAATCTTCATATAAAATATTATTATTATTACAAACTGGTAAGTCCGACATTTTATGATAAACACTATCTTTAAATTTATTTATACCCGTTTGTGTAATTGGTCTATAAGTTAGGTCATGTTTGTGTGAAGCATGATGGTGTTCAAGAGAGGCTAATTGTCCACTATGATCAGAATTAATACAATTTATTATTGATTTATTAAAAACTTTCCTATTACAAAAAATATTATCCAAACAGGTTGCTGATGCATGTGTGATGCGGGTAGGCTCAAAGAAGATATGCTCCAAGTTATATGATTTAAATAAGTTTAGAAACCTACCCACTAACGGACACTTAACTAAAATATTTATATTAAAATCACCACATACAACAAGCACTTTATTACATTTACATACTATATTGAAAGCGTCTTCCATAGCGGACTCAAATTGAGTGTAATTCCCAGATGGGGGTCGATATACACATATTATGATCATTTCATCAAGTTCCACACAAGATAGTTCAATATTACGTTCAACTGAAAGTGAAACAATATCTGAACGTTCTTTGTATTTAAGATCATTCTGTAAGATTATGAGAGAGCCTCCCCTGATAGCCGATTTCCTACAAAAACTACTAGCAACTGTATAATTATCTAAGTTCATAACTAATTCATAATCTCTGAGCCAGTGCTCAGTAATACATAATATTCTAATATTCTTTGCATTTAAAAATAAGCATACTTCTAGGTCTTTACCAGAAAAGCCTTGTATATTTTGGTGAACAATATTTAGGTATTTAGACTTTTCCTTGGTCATGTTGTAGCTAGAGAGTTCCTCTGTTGTCTTAAGAACTAATTTAAATTACAATTAATGTCAGTATTTGGAACAAATTCCAAGGTCTGATCTACATAATTATGCTGCTCAATAGAAGCAGTAGTGATAGCCAAATTTTTGGCTATGTGTGTAAAATAAAATAATAGCGAAGAAGCTATTTGTCTCTTATTGTAATACGAAAGATAATATTTATCTCTTGTCATTTTATAATTATATATTAATTTATTTATATCTATTAGATGTACTATTTGACTACTATACTGAGTCATGGTACTTAATGCCAAATTTAGCCTATACCTAATATTAATCTCTTCATTTGATAGACTCCTACTATATGGAAATGTAAACATAACTATTCTATTTACATTTAAGGAACACAAAGAGTTATAGTAGGTCATAATGTCATTTTTGTTAATATTGCCTCTATTACCCATTAAAATAATTAAACTTGTATTTTTGTCAAGTTCTAGAGTTAATATTTTTTTCATTAATTGGTGCATTGTGGCACCTGGCAAACAATAATTAATTATGCTTTCACCCAGCTGTTTTTTTAATAAGCAACCTAAATCTTTACCTAATTCGTCACACAACATTATATACTTCTGACAGTTAATCTGCTTAAAAGAATTACAACTAGTTGTGATCTCCGAGTGAACAGATTTAGTGATCATGGACTCGCATACTATATCAGTGTCATTTTGTTCAATACTACTCTGGTTTGATACCAAAGACTGACATTTAACAGGTGTGTCTTCGTGAAGGGAGGTGTTAGATAGATACTTAAAGGCCAGAATGTATTCATCTATCTGTTTTTTGGAGTTATTATAATTCTGAGTCATTTTAGATAATGATTGCTGAAGGCTTTTTAACTTAATATTCAATGACTCCATATTTTGTTCATATGTTAATCTATTTTCTTCAATTATGGAACGGCAAATATCTAATTTTTGTAATAACTGTGTACGTTCTTTAATAAACTCAATATTTCTATAAAATGTTTTTTCTTTATTTATAAGTTTCTTAGTTTTTAAAATATACCTTCTGACTTTAACATATCTTTTTAATTTGTTCTTACTAAGCTTAACAAGTCCCTTCCCGGCAGAGCACTGACATGAACTGTCAGAATTCAAATCATTTACACAGGGGTTAGTGTTACATTTAGGATAGATGGGCTGCTGGCACTGCATTAGAGGTCCTCCGGGTGATGCCATTAGTTCCTCAAAAAGACTTTGGGTATTTGCTGACTCTTGAAGCTGCTGTACTTCCCTAAAATGGGCTATTTGGGTATTTGCTGCACTTAGCTCCTTCTCAAGGTCAGTGATGCGTTGCAGAGCCCTCTCATAAGTGCTGAACTGCTCATCATAGTGGCTGATGGTATCATTCAAATTGTCTCGTTGTAGTTGGACTTCTATGTGTTCAGTATGAAGATGCGATAGTTCACACTTAAGCTGCGTGTTCCTGTCTATGACCTTTCGAATTTCTTCTTCATTCTCCTCGCGTTCTTGAAGTAGCTGACTACAAGTCTCCTTTGCATGCTTGAGTTCTTCAAGAGCATGCCTCAGTTGAAGCTCTGTGCATTGAGCTGCAGCTTTGCGGGTCATCATTGTTGTAGTTGAGTTGTAATTGTTTATATATAACCTGAAATGAGTTAGAAAATGTGAGTTTGGTTCAGAATTACTTATTATTATATTTTATACTGCACAATTCCCAAAAACAATTTAATTTTTATTGATATTATATGAGGGTAAGATAATAATACAGAATTAATTAATAAACTGCTTATCTTATCTTAATTGATAGACCAACTAAATGGATAATATTCGATATTTATTAATATTTAGTAAATAAGCACTCAATATTATAATAGGTTGCTATGTCTCATTAATTTTTCCTAACTGAATAAAGCAACAAATATCTCAATAACAAATTGTTAGTTTAATTGTGTTGGTAGCCACATACAAAAGGTGTTTATTGGAATTAAATGTGAAGTGTATTTATGAAGTAAGTGTTTGTAGCAACTAAGATACCATCAACTTTACTTAGACAATATGTCAAGGAAAGAGAGGCTTTCTGCTGCTGATTGTTTGTATTCTCAACAGAATTCACGATTGTGAGTTAAGCTGAGTAATATGTGTAATGTCAGTGTAAATAGTTAAGTGTATGAGATTGAGAATACTTGATGCAGTGCTAGATTATTAATGAAATGTAGGTAAGCTACCTGCCACCTTAAATTTACCAACAAAAGTAATTATTGATACTATAAAGGAAACTTAAAGTATTACAGAAATAAATAATATATAGAACAAATGTACTTCCCCGGTTTATGATGCAGCAGTCCACGGTTTTTTCCTTTTATTGAACTTTGCAAAGTAGGTACTTAGTCGTTACGATTTTCGAGACTCATTTATTTAAATGTCGTCGAACTCATACTTTGTAAAACAACACCACACAATATTTACAACTTAAACTTCACTTTAATTGCTATTTTAGTTACATATATTAAGAAAATTCTAATAAATTTAATTTTTAAAACAGCTGATACAATTTGACAAGTTAACCGGCCAGTGTTGCCAGTGTAAGTCAAGCACGTTGCATAAGTAGTCAGATAGACGCTTCATCAGTAGGTAAGCGATACCATCAGACAGCTAGGACAATATATGTATCTACAACAATATGATAATAAGTTACCTGATTGAATATAGACAGTGCTAGGGCATCGCTGTAGCTGAAGGAAGGAGACTCGTAGACTGCTGCGGGTAAAGCCAGCACCTCGCGTAAGTAGTCAGATAGACGCTTCATCAGTAGGTGACCGTTGCCATCAGACAGCTGGGAGAATATATCTACGACAATACGTAACTTTTCGAGATAGCAAACTTACATATTTCTTAGATATAAATGGGTAACAAAACGCAACGCAAAAAGCTTCTTTGACCGTTTGACCCACAACAAGCAAGCCGTCACTTCAAAGGTGCGTTCTAAACTGAGTGCAAGTTTTTACCCTGACGTTTCAATTTTGACATAAAACGTATGTAATTTATGACAAATATGACATTTGTTGCACCTAGCGCGTAGGTTTGGAAAGCAGCATAAGTCAATTGGAATTTGACGGTTATCCTTGTAAAGTACACAAGGAAAACCGACAAATTCCGACAGCTGTCTCGATTTGTTGTTAAGGGCTATTCGAATTCAATTGGCAGTGTTCTTCCTCAAAAATTGCTAAAATATAAGTAGGGCGCGGAACATATAATAATCAATTTCATACAAAATTTCGTAGCGTCGTGACCGCGTCTTGTCTTTTTTTTGTTTTGCGCCGCGATAATTTTTGTATGAAAAAGACACGGAAGCGACAGGAAGTCCGCATACCGTCTGCGTCTTACTTCTTTTCTGTCTGTCCCGCGCTATGTAAGTTAAGTTTCCTTTTTTTGTTTTTTGTGAAATAAATAAGGTTCTACTCTACAGTTTTTTTCAGCAGCGACATTTCTTCAATATTAACTAATATTTTAAAACCTTTTTTTTTGGAGCAACTTTACCTATTATATATTTTTTTAACAACTTTAATGTATTGGATCAAGACATTTTTTCTTGTACTCACATCTTAACTTGTCCATTAATTTACCAGCACACATCGTTGCAAGCGCCACCTTTATAGAAAACACTCTGATCTTTCCTACATTTTCTCTGCAACAGAAAAAATATCAATAAGTATATAATTTTTCATAGTTAGGAAATTCACTGCAAAATTTTATTGTTGAATGAAATGTATTCACTTTGAATAATCTATAGATGTTTAAGCACTGCTTTATATACAGAAAGGAAAATTAAAAAAAAAACAATTAACCTGACTGATTAAATATCACTTCTAATAAAAACTGAAAAGAAAAAAGTCCAGTAGTCTATAATTCTGTTAAGTAAAGAACAAACCTACTTTTACAGTTGGGGCCCATTATTGAAAACATTGATCCATTCTTGAATATATAACGGATCCCGACTAGTAAAGTAGCGGAACCTTAATATAATTTTCGATTATCTAGACAATGATACCTCCTCGAAATATTTCATCAACTTATTTTTTTTACTTTTTCACAATATGGCGCCTAATTCATTTAATATGGTCGCCATTAAAATTTGCTTCCTATCAAATCTTTAGTAGCACTCCACGTCCACGCGTTTGGTCTCTAGTGTGACACAAAGGTACATACATACATATATAGACTGTAAAACACTATACCCTGTCTGCGCGTCGCGCTTCGCGCTCTTGCATTGCGCAGTCGGGTAAAAAAAGTCCTGTGTGACTTTTGTCCTACATAAACTCTGGGACTACTTAACCGATTTTGATGAAGATTTGCTAAGTACCTGGACCTCATCCTGATTAAAATAAAAATAAAAGACACATTTTGTCTCATTTCTTGACCTTATTTACCCCCTGATGCATTAAATGGAGGGATGAAAGCTGTGTATATTACGTGACGGAGCCGCAGCGGGAAGCTCACGGAGGAAAAACAAAGAGGAGCTGGCCTAAGCAACTGTGCACTGTGATTTTCAACTAGGTCCTGACGTCATCATTGTGGGCGGGGCCTAAGTCAGTATGCTTTCAGCGTTCGTCAGGTGCACACTTAACGAGACTCGCATTATAAGTGTTTTTTTGCGTTTTTAACAAGAAAGGATGAAGTTTTGTGTTTTACTATGTCAAAGTTACTCAGACAGACGTTCTGATAATATGGATGGCATCACATTTCATTTGTAAGTAATTTTATACGTAATTAAATATATAAGTTCTAGAACATTCTCAGCCTCAGCTTTCAGCGTTAAAATTCTACTACTTGACACCAGATGGCGACACTTTTAGGAAGAAAATACACAAGTTTACGTATAATTTTGCAGTATTATATTGTAATAATCATACGTAAATACTGAAAACTGTTATACACTTATTCCTAAATAACTTTTAGTATCTAAAACAGTAATTTTATCAATATATTACTAACTGGCCGCCATCTGTCGTCATATAGAATAACTTTTTAAACGTTACAAATATCCAGGGCCGTAATACGTATTAAATTATTTACCAAGTAAATAAATTTTAATTATTTTTATGTTCGTTTTAGATTTCCATCCAACGATAATTTAAAACAGCAATGGATTTCAAAACTTAATAGACCGGATTGGACACCATAGAAGAAGAAGATATTTCCATTTTAAATGAATCTTCTGTGCAAAAAAAATAATATTACATCAGAACGTTATCGCATTTTAAATAAAATGAGTTTCGAGTCTTCGGATAGCACGGATGTCGAGCCTATGCCTGACGATATGTTATTGGAATTTGATGAACAATTAAATACAACTATAGGTGACTATTTGCGCCGTCAAATAGTAGCATATATTTCTGGGTATGTGGTCAAATATTTACATTCCAAGATCAAATGTGAGAGCTGTCTCAAAGAATTATATGCTGATAACTACGACGATAGTGACCTTGATTTGATAAAAACTTAAAATAAGGGTGGTCTTACTTTCCCATCTAGAGATGTCATAAAAATATGTATACGGACCGAAGGCAGTATTCGTTGTGTTAAATCGCAATCTTTGAATACTCCTAACTTTCGTAAACATAAAATTGTATCGAATACATTAAAATCACTTATTGGACAAGATTGTTTCAAAAAATCGGCCAACCATATGTTTGACCAATCACCTACAGTTCATCATCATGTTGTATTTCTGATGAAATCGATTGCAGAAAAATATATTGATATTCGTTTTAAGCATTTTGCCACAATACAAAACGATACGGCAACCAACCGACAACAACTAACCAAAACTATTATTTACAGGTAATGGATGTTTTTTAATAAAATTATGTTTGTAATAACATTTTGTCTATTATTTTTAAACTACCTTAAATTTTAAATCTAAAGAAAATATAACTAGAAAAATATCCACGCGGACCAGGCAGCAGACGGGAGCGGGTGCGGGTTCGAGTCCCGTCTGCTGCCTGGTCTGCCTGGATTTTTTTTCATCAAGCAGTTACATGTTTTAAAATAATAAAAATTATACCTTAAAAATTTTAAAATCGGTCAAATTTGTTAACGTTTATTTACCTACATATTTCATTTTTTTGAAGCTTCAAGTTCTGAGTACGTCCCATTATATACAAAACTTTTGAACATCTAGTGTTAGATAGCTGAACTACTACGTAGTAACATAAATATCAACCTAAGCTAGTTTTGCTATTAGCCGATAGATGAAATATTGAGAAGTGGGCGGAGCTGAACACCCCGCATCCCGCAAATTATCACGCGTCGTTTCTTGAGAAAATTTAATCACCACACCTCCTCTTTGTTTTTCCTCCGTGGGGAAGCTATTTAAATATAAATTCAATACAGAATCCGTGACCTTAGTAAGTTTGCAACGGTTTCGAGTTTTACTCACATATGGATACACAGTACATGATTAAGCAAGCTCGCTCACCTGTATCGCCTATGAAGGTTACTCATACTTATAAACATATAAATAACCGACATTAAGTCTGATTCTAAAGTCAGTCATTTTAAAAACATCTACTATTGAAATCAAATAGAACAATAAGACAATAACACAATAAAGAATGCTTTAATACAGACAAAAGATGCAGATTGTACAGAGTATTTACTCTTTTCTGTTACTTATACTACATCATCATCACAGCCTATTAATGCTCCCACTGCTGGGGAACAGGACTGTCCTATGGATGGAATAGGGAGAATGGGCCGTGACCCACCACACGAGCTCAGTGCAGATTAGTGGGCGCTAAGGACTGCAGATGCAGGCGAGAACAACGGCCTACCGAAGCACGGAGGAGGTCAGATAATAAGTTTTCGGTCACCCATCCAATGACTGACCATTGCAAAAGTTGCTTAACTTCCACGATCTCGGACTGAACACGCTAACCACCTGCGCCATCCTCCACTAAATTAATTCAATAACAAATCTCACCCTGTGCTATATGCAGATAACAACCAGTTGAGTAGTAACGCTGAGCAGGACTCAACAGACACTTGATGAGCGGGTGGTAACCTCTTGTTTAAATTGTGGTACAGTGAGGACACAAGCGTCTCCAGCCGGGTAACGTTTACGCACGCGTTCGGCTCGAGAGTGTTCAGAGCGTTTTCGCGAAACGCCTCGATAACATTCCATATGTCTATGACATGCACTGAAACAATGAAATATTTAAATTAATTTGATATGATAATCAAGTCTTCAAAATCTGCATAATCTCCAGAAAACAATTTAAAATAGCACATTTTAATTCAACTGTATTACCATTATGATCACACAAAACTTTACGGAATGATATTTGCAAGAACTGGCTAAGAGAAGAGCAGACACAAAAGTGTATGGACCGGCACCTTTGCAGCCCATACCGCAGGCCCAAATTAAAACGTGGCTGCGTGAAAAAACTCAGAAATCACACTTGACGGAGTGGAAAACAAGTGAAGGATGCCGGCAAACGAAAAACGCGGTTCCGGCGGCAAATAAAGTTTTGCCTGCACCCTTACCAGACTAAATAGGGACGAACTTTGCAGGATTATAGGATCCCTGACTGGTCATTGCCCCCTAAACAAACACTTATATACAATAGGAGTAACAGACAGCCCCCTATGCAGAGGATGCATGGAGGCAGAAGAAACGCCTCAGCATGTCATCATGGAATGCCTCCTGCATGTGGCCGGCCAATCGCCAGAATCGTTTCCGGAAGTTTGCAGTAGTCTACCAAGGCTGCTTTCCTTCTGGACCGATATAGGCTGGCTGGAGTAAACGGGAATGTTTTTGAGACACGCACAATGGTCCAATAATTAGGACTAAGTGCGGAAACCGCCTAGAAGAACTAACTAACTATGATACTTGCAAAATATATGCATAAAAGTGCATTAACTAAATTTGCCCACCTCATAATAATCAATTTATAAACACAGACATAGTACAGTAGAACCTCGATAAGATAAAGACCAAGGGAAACATTAAATAATTTGAGTAATTGAGGTTTTTACTTACTAAGTGTCGCCGCACACGGGCCACACGCCACAGCCACAAACGCCGCCACGAGAAGCTAGAAGCGGCTACTAAAGTGGCTGAAGCGCGCGACAGCGGCAGGCTAAGGTAAGGGAGAGAGGGGTGGGGAATCGCGCGAGGGACGTGTGGCAGCGTTTTGTATCGGCGCATTAAGTGGCCGGTGCGGGCCACAAGAAGCGAGCAGCGACGATTTGTAGCGTGTGGCGGCCACCGGCGTACCGTGTGTGGCGAGTCCATATAAAATGTATGAAAACTACAAGAAATATGCCGGTGGCGGCGTTTTGTGGTTGTGGTCGGTGGCCCGTGTGCGGCGACACTTACGGTTAGAGTTAAGGAGTTTTTATTTGTTTATATTTTTACTTACAGAGGTTCGTTTATGAGCTATCTTTAGGAATTATAGAGATAGACAAGCTATGTTCCAACGAAGGCTAAAAGCTAATGATACAAATAAGTTACTGTACTGAGACCTTAGTGTATTGTTTACATTTGAAGCCATTTGGTAAACAGTACAGGAACCTTTTTTTCTTTGCACATTCATTTTAAATGACTCATTGATAGATTATTAAGGTTACAAAGACACAGATACAGATGTTGTCGTCGTTAAAAAATTGAGTTGCTGAGGTTCAATGCCAAAATGATTGGTTTAAGTTAAAGAGGGTTAGTATTTTAAGTAAAAGAGGCTTTGGACTCCGAGGGGAAGGAAACACAAAATTTTATGAATTTATGGAGGTTTTACGTTGTTGAGGTTTAAGTTATCATAGTTCCACTGTACAAGTTTTAAAATTTTTCCACACATGCAGTTTTAGCAAGGACTACAAATGAATATCATAAAAAGTTGATAGTTTAACTATACTCCCAGACACATCTAAGGGCCCCCCTACATTTTAAGTTTTAATTTGATGGGCTCTAGCAAAAATTAAAGTTATATTTCATCAAGCTAAAAGTTTTATTTGCAATTTTGCAGCTGATTTATTAACCAGCTACTTTGAGTTTTTTTTATTATTTTTTGTTGCTCAGCCTAACATATATTTTTGTTACAGACCAATGAAACTTAAGTAGGCCAATAGAATAGAGATGTGTCTGGGAGTGTATTTCCAACATAAATGAAACTGAAGAACTTGAATCCTCTCTTATTCATTTATAATAACAATTTTATATACTCAGGGCTGATAGTATTTTTTACGACCTCTGTGGCCGAGTGGTTTGTATGCCAGGTTTCATGGTGTGTCTGACTCGAGAGGTCCTGGGTTCGAATCGAGCATTTGTACTCCAGTCATGGATGTTTAATACGTATTTCTAAATAAATATTGAAATGAAATGAAATGAAATGAAAAATGAAATGAAAAGTCATTTATTCAGTCTAGGCTGTTACAAGCACTTGTGAAGGTCAAGAAGCTACGCCATCGGTTCGCAAAACTACGGCGGGAGACCTTGTACTGAGAAGAACCGGCAAGAAACTCAGCAAGGGCTGCTTTTTTCTCCCTGTATTGATATATACAGAGTCGTCAAGACCTCACAGTGCTAACTTTGGGGCTAGGCTATTGGTGTTTATTTATATATACTTTCATGTCTATGTCATATTAATTTTCTGGAAACAATTTGTCCAACAAAAATAATTTACAATAGTAGCTATTGGGAAATATTACCTAGATGTTTTGGAACTTTACAAAACTATTTGCTTACTCTCTTCAGTAACTTATCTTGTTATTATCAATACTTACAATTGCATTTCTTTTGCACATAACGTAGTTTGCATGCTGTTCGGTACGATGCAAACCGAATCAGATCAAAGTTCTGCTCCCTCATCTCTTGAAGTAGCTGCGAGCGTGGGTCGTTCGAAGAGCCCATGTTCATGGGCAATGGAGGCATTTGAGGCATTTGTCCCAATTGGGACATTGGTCCCACACTTTCTCGTTCTAAAGACATAGTGATTCCTTAAACAATACAAAGTCAAAGTATAAATGAATTTATTCAGCTTCAGCATTTATATATATAATGAGTAATTGAAAACAAAACAAATACAGTACAATTCCATAGCTCAAAATGCCTCTAACACTTCCAAAGTTACAATTATGCTTAGATATAATATCAGACAGTAATTGAATACAATTCAACATAAACAACAATTAAAATTATTGTATTTATTTTTCTAGGGTCTAAGGACTCTATTCCGTTCATAAGGAAGTCCTGTGCCCCAGCAGTGGGGACATAAATAGGTTGTTGATCATGCTGATGAAAGACCAAATGTATGTTCAATAAGTTGTTCATAATGTCCCAAATCTTGTTTTTGATGAAACATAAAACCATATAAACACATTACGAGTTAAATGTTTAAACTGTTGTATTTGTAATAGTAGTGAAGAAGTCAAAAATAAACATAGGTATTTTCGATGTTCCATAAAAATGTATATTTTGTTTATATTAATTAATCATTTACTAGGTAGACAATCTTGTAGCTTTCTCACCATTGACAAGAAACATTGTGAGAGTCTATCCAGTAGGCACATCAGCAGCAGCACAAAAAGCAAACATCTCAATAACAGCAAACGAATAACACCCGTGATAATTAAATTTAAACTGTGTCATGAACTACCATGTGTCCTTGCGAGTGTGATTCACTCCATTAGCACACCGTATAACTAAGACTTAAATACAGAAAGTAACCATAGGTTACTTTGAATTTTGTCCCTTTACTCGGCATTTTATATTTAAATTTTGCTATGTGTTTTTACTAAGATTATATTTTTAGAATATGATCACTAATTAATTTTTTAATTGATTAAAATTTATATATTTTAACAGATAAATTAAAACCAATAACAGCTTGAGAATTAATGTATTCTTCAATATCTTTTAAGTTTTTATTCTAGTTTAGAGACACATAAAATATCCTACTTTTTTGAGTTCTACTTTATGATATGTGCTCAGGAATATAATACAGTTGGTGTAACAACATTAAGTAATTTATAATAACAACAAATACTGGTTTTCTCGTACTTATTACCCATACAATTATAAATCTACCCAAATAGTGTCACATAAATAAAGCAATAATTTTTAATTTTGTGCTTTATTCGGCTTACCTGTAACTCATAAGTTTGTTGACATATCGTTATGAAGATTCTGCGGTTATTGTAGTTATTTTTGTAGATAAATCGATTCGTAATGTTTCCGTTCTTTTGGTAAATACATGAATTAGTTCAAGCTTTTCACTAAACACTACACTATGCACTGCACGGTCATACCAATATAGTTTAAATAACGTAAGTTTTGTATTGTTTTAATGTAAGATACCACATTCAAAGATAGTAAACTTGTAGATACAATTAATTTTGATAAAAAATTACAGGACAGAAATAACATTGACAGCCTGTTTGCCTGCTGCCATTGTATTTTTTTTACATTCTTTTCAGGGAAGGCGAAGCAAACAACGCCCATACAGCCTAGTCCTAGGTTTTATTAATATTCCTTTTTTTTATATTTGAATGTCGGTGTAACTCATTCTAATGTTTCTTGGAGTGTTTGGCACAAAATGTATTGAGTCAGTTTTTCAACAAGCTTCTGTGAAGTAGTCAACACTACAAGAAAGTTCTTACGTCCACTTGATCTCTTTTTTTCATACAATAACATATTTATTGCATTACTGGTGGCTCGCCCTCGCTTCGCTTCGGTGTAGAGCTGTAGTGTAGACTAAATTGACTTCATATAAAAAAACTGAAAATGGAAAATGTATTTGATTTTTCCAAACTTCTATTGACATCACGTCACTCAATTGTTTTGCCTTCCCGGAACCTCTCCACTAACATTTGAAATTTATGGTATGGTATTAAAGTTCAAATTGACTTTTAAGTATTATTACGAATCGTTTGTATGAGAGTATAGAAAAGTGTTGTTTTGGACTTTTTTAGGCATTTTTTTTAAATTTTTACTGTGCGTATGATCCATTGATTATTCTGAAAAAAGAAGTATCTATATAGTTTTTTTTTATATTATAGATAACTAAGGTTACCTACATTCTTAATTTCGGAAAAGGCAACTCAACATGCAAAGAAAAACAGTGGATTCACGTAGAAAACCAGAAGAACAGGAGATCTCTCGTAAAATCGGCAGACCTGGCAATCCTGGCTGTTGCCGACTTAGGGTATTTTACCCCTAGACTTAGAGTATAATTTAACTGCTGGGGGTTTTCGGGTTAAAAAATGTTTAAGTTAATTTTTTGAGTACAAAATATACTTACTTACTTACTACTGCGGCTCAACGATCCAAAGTAAATCTTGGCCTCCGATACAACATGACGCCATGCTCTGCGATCCCGGGCAAGTCCTTCTGCACCTCGTCGCTCCAGCGGTATCTGGGACGTCCAACGGGCCGTCGTCCAATCAGTCGCCTCAAATACGCTCTTTTCACGGCTCGATCCTCTCCCGTAGAGAGAAATCTACGTGTCTGAGCCAGCGAAGTCTAGCTGCTTTAACTTCTCCTATGATGTTGGGCTCGGACACTAGATTTTCCAGCTCGATGTTCGTCCGCACTCTCCAGCTGCCATCCTCTCTTTGAGTCGGCCGCAGGATCTTCCGCAGAATCCTTCTTTCGGCGACTAACAACTTATTCTCTTCTCTAAGGGTTAGCGTCCAAGCCTCACAACCGTACGTCAAGATCGGTCTAATCATTGTATTGTAGATCCAAATCTTGGTCTTTTTGGACTTTGTGAAGAGCAGCTGTGCACCTGAGTGCGTCTTGGATACGGGTGTCGATCTTCTCTTCTCTTCTGTTGGTTTCTGTTACCGTAAAGCCCAGATATTTAAATTTACTGACGCCCTTATAGGTGGTGCCTTTCACATTCAGATCCTTCCGTTTCTCCCTCGTACTTTTGTATCTTTTCATGTGAAAGTACTCGGTCTTTTCGTGGCCTATCCTTAGACCAACCTTCCCACCTTCCTCCTCCAGAGTCTCCGCCATCTTGCGGACTTCTTCTTCGCATTTTCCCAATAATGCTAGATCGTCCGCATACCCAATAGTCTTGTGATTACCGTTCAACTCCACTCCTCCACTGACCTCTAAAATCGTTTAACTAGTTTTCGTGGTATTCCGAAGGATCTTAAAATGCAGTATAATGTGTTCCTATCAACACTGTCATACGCCTTTGTAAAATCCACAAAACGACAGTGGATATTCTGCGCGTATTCCAACTTTTTTCCATCAGCTGCTTGAGTAGAAAGATTTGGTAGCATCTGCTGCGGTCGCGGCAAAATCCGTATTGATAGTCTTTTACAATTTTCTCTACCCGTTGTTGCAGTCGGCCCAGGAGAACGTACGAAAAGACATTGTATGCCGTAGGGAGCAGTGCAATTCCCCGGTAATTAGAGCATACCTTTCGGCAGCCTTTTTTGTGAATGGGGCAAATGACCCCAACATTCCACTCATCAGGTTGGATTTCGTCCTCCCATATCTTGGCTATAATGTGGTGAAGAATTGTTTGCACCGGCCTTCCGCCATACTTCCACAGTTCTCCCGGTATGTCATCAATACCTGGACATTTGTTATTCCGTAGCCTTGCGATCGCTTTTTTCACCTCTTCAAAGCTTGGTCCGGCTACCTCCCCCTCCCCTTGGTTATCCTCTGGGTCCTCCATGGAGCTTTCTACTGGAGCACAATTCAATAGGTCCCTTAAACATCGGCGCCACTCATTTTTGAGGTCTTCGGGATCGGAGATTAGGTTGCCATCATCCTTTTGGAGCATTTGAGTAGTGGGTTGGAAGTTTCGAGCTGTTTTTAACTCCTGGTAGAACTTACAAGTTTCGCTGGTTTTAATTAGGGCTTCAGATACTGGTTATTCCACTCGCTGTTCTGAAGTGCCAAACTCTTTAACTTACGTTTATCATTTAGTGCCAGTTCACATTAAGTTGTCCACCGTTTTCGTTTATTTCTGCGGTTTATCCTGCCAAGTGTCTGCAACACCACTTCCTTGATCTAGACCTTTGCACTTTCCCAGCATCCATCTAAGCTCTCCTGCTCTTTCAGACATGCAAACCTATTTGAGAGCTCTACCTCATACTTTCTCTGTATTATGTCTTTAAGGCTATCGATATTAATGAGCTGTTCCTTTGTTCGGCTGGCTTGCGTGCAATCTTAATTCTGGCCCCGATCTTGATCCCCAGCTTATAATGGTCACTATCGCAGTCGGCACCACAGAAGGTTATAACATCCTGGACAACGTTTCTGTGCCTACAATCGATTAAGACATGGTCTATTTGATTCACCGTTACACCATCCGGGGATTTCCATGTCCCTTTATATATATTTTAACGGGGAAACATTGTACTCGTGACTGCCATTGACTTAGCGGTTGCGAAGCTTATCAGTCTTAATCCGCTGTCATTCGTGACTTCATGTTTGCTGTGTAAGCCGATAGAAGGCACTTAAATCTCTTCTCGTCCTATTTTTGAATTCAAACAACAAATCTTGACATCATACTGAGGGATTTGTTCGAACACTACTTCTAGGTCCTCGTAAAAGCGGTCTTTGGTTTCTTCCTCGGTAATCTCTGTTGGAGCATTTACTATTGTGATATTGAAGAACCTCGTTTTGACTCATAGGATACTTATTCTATCAGCGATAACCTCGAACCGAAGCATAATTCTTAGGACTTCTTTGTTAATTATGAATCCAGTTCCGTTAGTATGTCGGCCGTTGTCATCACCACCATTGAAAAGTACCACGCCGCCATCCAGTTCACATTCTCTTTTACCAGGCCATCGGACCTCTTGGAGTGCTTCAATTTCAACTTAATAGCGTTGCAACTCTTTAACTAGTTCATATTCTGCGCCTATCCTGTTTAAACTACGTACATTCCATGATGCAAATCGGATTTCCTTATTTCCTTGCGTATTGTCGTCGTTGAGTTCGGATCGTATTCTTCTATGTGTCGGTTTCGTAACTTTGGGTTTTTTTTTCGTGGGTAGGGTGTGAGCCTACCTTGCAACCCCCAAAATGCTGAAGGGTCACACCCATCATTGGTCAGTGAGTCCATCGGACTTAGCCGGTAGTGAAGCCACGGTAATAATATCATACAGTATTCTATCTTCATACAAACGGTCGGAAAGCGAGTCATACCTACGCCACTCGAGTTCGATGTGCTCTCGGCGGGCACCCAGTCTAGGGATGTCGAAAGTTGAAAAAAATATCGATATATCGATACATCGATCTTTTAAAAAATATCAATATCGGCATCGATATATCGCGAAAAAAACATCGATATATCGGACCAATTTTCCCAAAAATATCATTCAGTAGCTCACGAAATATGACACGTGGAATAATAATGGAACGAAAATTATCTTCCTAAAAATAGACCCTATTTTCGAATGATGACATAGACAATACTAAATACAGCACAGATCATAGATATTTTGAATATCCTTAATCTGAGATCCAGTTACGATTTTTCCAGATACGAATTTAGTTAGATCGTGATATGCCGCTAATAATTAAAAAAAATTGGGTGCGTGTACTTATGTAGGCGCGTGAGAAGTTATCCTTCTTTGGCATCGTTTAAAATTAGTTTTTAATTGCATGCAAATAATTAATTACAATAAATTAATAAAAAGTCTGGAAAAGGACACAGTCAATAAAGTTCAGTTTTAATTTGAGAAAATAAATAAATAATCAAAATATTCAATTAAAATCGCTACTGAATATAATTTATTAGAACATATGTGATTTGCACTTGTATGAAATTCAAACACGTATTCCGAATATACAAACTAGAAACATGTGGATAAATATTATAAATATGAATACCTATAACTGTTACTTTATTACAAAAAATAAAGATGTGATTTTTGGTTCTACTACACCAATGGTCAAGAGATGGCGCTGTAGTCTCCTGAATCGCGCTTTGGTTCCGTTGTTCCAGATTAATAAATACTTTTGATAGGCCTTCACAATGCAGTCGTTAGCACCCACTAAATAGAGATTCTATTTCTATTTTGTTGGTAGATTTTCTTAATGTGCGGTAAACACAAAAGTAACGCATGAAGTTGGTCGCTAAAGCGACCAACTTCATGCTGTTAAAATTTTGTGTTACAGTGATGCGCGCGCATCTTAAAATTTCACTCTCATCATTTTTTCATAACGCGCCTAAAGAAGTATAACTTCAAAAATATCGTTTTTGATACGAATTTCGATATTAGTTATTTTGTATCGATGTATCGATATATCGAATCAAAATATATCGGCAAAAAATATAGATATATCGAACAAAAAATATCGATACATCGATATATTTTGAACAAGCCTAACCCAGTCGCGAATGCGCCGCCGCGCCGCAACGACGACCGAACGGTCTGAATTGTTTTTTATGCAGTTAGCCGTGCTTAAACGTGCTTTTTATATTGTAAATATTTGATTTAATTAAGTAGATACCTACATAATTTAGTATGGAAAAGAACAAACGACGATCAATATCGTACAACAGCACAATTGCTGTTTTTAGTTGCTTGAACTCTTCAATAACACACCCAGAGATATCATTTTTTAAATTACCTGAAATATTGGAAAGGTGTCTTACCTTTATAGAATATTTTTTATATACATATCTACTAGTACGTTATTTGTTTCTAATATTTAGGTAT